CAGCTTAAAAGTCCTCAGAGTCCACAGGACAGACACATGCACAGGGTGTGACATGGCCCAGGCTCTGTGGTCCCCATCATGGGTTCCTCACGAGAGGCCTTACAGGAAGGGGAACACCCCCTCCGGGGCCTTGCTCTGCTCTCCCTGAAGAACGCCCGACAGCAGAGGTCCTGAGACCTTTCAGACCAGATGTGAGTCTCACCAGACCCCACGCGACCCTGCCACTCTGCCTGTTCCCCGCCAAGCCCAAGTCCAGAGAGTGACTCTGGTCCCGGAACCAGAAGTGGCAGGGGGAGGTCCTAGCCTGGGAGCCGGCCCAATTTCAGTTCCAGTTACAGGCCTCTTACAGAGAGAGGCTGTGTGATCTGGGAGAGACACTTCCCTTTCCTGCGTTCCGTAAATGCAAATTCTCTTCCTTCCTTCCACCACCCTGTCAATCAACTAACATTTAGTGAGTAGTTACCACGTCCAGTCATGGCACCAGGCCCTGGAGATTCATGTTCTGTAGGAGGATGGTGTTGATAGCCAGCAGTGTTAACACTCTGACCTTAATCTGACCACTGCGTGATGAGCTGATCTGAATTCTACATGGTGTTGTGGGTTCTTGGGATCCACTCACATAATCTCTGTAACGAATACATTCACAATCGGGTGGGGAGAGGCAGCGAGAGTTCTTTGTTGTTTTCATGGCCTTGGAGGTTTGGGAAGAGTCTGCTGTGTTCAGATGTGCTCAGCGAGTACATCCTGGGAAGACACACGTGTATTTATAACTCAGTGTGTGTGGTCTGGGGAGGGAGGGGGTGAACTGAGGTGAATTTGCTTGTGGGGAGGAGTGGGCCCTGCTGGGGCTGGAGAGGTTACCTCAGCCTGGTGTCAGCACATGGAGGGCCATGTGTAGAGACATGGGTCTCACGGGAGGAAGGTGGAGAAAGGTGGGCAGGTCGTGTATTCACGGGAGGGTCAGTGACAGATAGGTTTGGAGCCATGAGAATAAAACACTTCATCTGAGGTGAGGGTTGGAGTGGGGACCAGGAGAAAGCTGATATGGTGGCTCCAACATGACGTCTGGAGTCTTTGACTACACTTCACTGTGGTGCTGGATGGGGTCATGGAGGAGGGTTCCAGGGCAAAACTGTCTGGATTGTCATCATGTGAGATGTGGAAGGGAGTGAGAAATTGAGAGGTGTCCCACACCTGCCTCAGTTGACTGGAGGACCCAATGGGGCTGTCATAGTGTGGGTGACCCCAAGATGAGAAGGATGGAAAACACGTTATCATACGGTTCAGCGACTCGCAGAGGGAACCACCCCTCCGATCTGGGCTTGGGTTTGTGGGTTTGTTTCTCTCTCACACACTTCCTCTCTCTGACCTTCTCTTTCTGTGACAGCAGCATCTTCTCTCCATCAAAACCTGAGTCATTCCTGCCTCCTCACAGTCTTGTCCCCCAGATATGAGCTCTTCTGGACTGTGGATTCTGTCTCCTGCTTCGCACAAAGCACTAGTTGGAGACAATTAATAATTTTGTTTTGGTTTGTTGGTTTGGTTTTAATGTTTGTTTGTTTATTCATTCTCAGTTGTTGGACATTTGGATTGTTTCACTTTTGCTTTTTGAGTCCTTCTATGAACATACTTGCCTAAGTGTCTGCTTGATTACCTGTATGTAATTCTGTTTTCTCTTTTGATTTGCGTTGTGGTAAGAGCATTTACTATGAGATCTACTCTCTTTACAAATTTCTGTTCCAGGACAATGTTGTGCTTTCTACCAAGGTGGCATCAGTGAGGTTGGATGGGCAGATAATTGCAAACAGGCCTATTTGTAGACAGTTGCCCTAATTCTGTGTATTTTGACAAATTATTTCATGAGTCTGAGGTCATCTTTATAAGGGAGGAGATGACTCCTACCTAAGAGTTCTCTGGTAAAGACTCAGCAATGGGGTGTGTGCAGCACCCAGTGCAGACCCTGGCACCTGGGACACATCAGAAAATGCTGATCTGTACTGTCGTGTGCAATAACCAGATGGCCTCTGCTCTGTGTGGATCTGGATGCATGGGTGGTGATCTGAATGATCAGACAGGGCTCCAAACTAGGCTCATGCTCTACACTCACCACACTGGTATTTGAACATGGGGGACTGCCTGTTCATTTTCTTCCTTTCTTTGGAAAATGCATCTTTCTTTTTTAAAGTTTACTTATTTAAATTCAAGTTAGTTAACATAGAGTGTAGTATTGGTTTCAGGAGTAGAACCCAGTGATTCATCTCTTACATATAACACCCAGGGTTCATCCCAACAAGTACCCTCTTTAGTGCCCATCACCCATCTAGCCCATCTCCCCTCCCACCCCCATCTCCCCTCCAGTGACCCTTAGATTGTTCTCTGTATTTAGAAGTCTCTTATAGTTTGTCTCCCTGTCTGCCTGTTCATTTTCTATGCTGCCCCACAAATCATGTAGGCGACCCTGCCTCTACAGTTTGCTTTGTCTTTGATTAGCTCATGTTAGTTCACTACTTTTTTGTTAAGTCTCTGTGAGTGGAGTGCAAAAGAGGAACTCTTTGTACCAGGACTGAGCAAGGGACCAAATATACATAAATTAAAGGTGAAGGCAGACAGGGAGGATGCTGAGTTAATTTATTGCAGATTGCTGTGTATGTTTGTGTGGAGGTAAACTTTTCTGTCTGTCTTTCCATTTATAATCAATCCTGAATCCATCCATCCTGCCAAGAATCTATACAAAAGTTAACTAGATTTCACACAATGCACCAAGCATGAATACTAAAGTATGTGCTAAATTCACATGGATCCTGTTCTCTGATCATTACTAGTCCTGGGAATGTTATGGGTGTCAAATAAATAGTGACAAAAGGTATATACTTGACCACTATGTCGTGTGGTATGTGGAATAAGTCCTTGGAGGTTGGAGATGATGTCACAGAGGATGAGGACTGGTCTGGGCAACATGGAATGTTGACAGTTCCCACAGCACATGCCTCACATACTCTTCCAGAAATTCCTGGGCACATAAGATGTGCTTCCCAGACTCTGTCATTCTGATCGTTGCATTGTTCTCTCTTGAGTTTACCTCCTGGATGCATCTTGGATTCCTCTCTGACTGTAGTGATCCTGAAATAGCAGAATCCCGAGGACAACCAGGATCAAGCCAGCCATGACCATGCGGATGAGATTCTCTACTGTGTAATCTTTGGGGTGGGACGCTAGGAATTGAGGACAAAGTGGTCACTGAGGTGAGGGGAGACCCAAATCAGCCCAGATCCTGTATGTCCACCCAGGGTGCCCACCTCCCCTTGACAGGACTTCACGCTCCATGCCACTTCCATAACTGAGACTTTCTCCTACTCACCAGTGTTGTGGTCTGACTTGTTTTGTGATGGGCTGATGGTGTCAGCTGCTCCTGAGAGCCAAAAAAAAGTGGAGAAAGATGAATTTCTGATGAGACTTAAACTTGTCCCCCAGGCTGCGTGTTCTCGTACCTCCCCTTGTTCTCATGCTATAACTTCTTATGCAGTCATTAATTGATACTTTCTCTGTTATAGAAGGATCCTCTCTGTTCTAAATGGATTATTTCAGTCTCCCTGTCTTTTTTGAATTTAGACTTTGCTTCTGAGTTGGTTTGGAGCAGAGTCTTCCTGTGTCCCCCTAGCTCAGAATTTAGTGAGATAAATCATCTCTCAATACAGAAGTACTTGGGCTCTTGTATTCTCTGTGTTTATTCTGAGCACCTAAGCTACCTCTTATGGATAGGAGAACTTGTATTTTCAACAATTCAGGACCTAGAGTCCATGAAACAGGGGTTGGTCACAAATATAATGTATATATATATATATATATATATATAG